CTGGCCCCCAAAACCTGCTCCCAAGCTCCCCCCGAGCTCGAGGGAGCATCATCATCCTGGTCACCGCCCTAGTAACGGACGTGGTACGGATATCCCGACATGACCGACAATAAGTAAGACTCACCGAAAGAGGACGGGATGAAATAAGTTGAGGACTCGAGTAGACTTGACAGGTATGCGACCTCAGAATCCGAAGACAGCAAGATGGCGTGAGGGTAAACGAGGCCCAGAGGGCCCTCCAATTTATAGCCCCCACGTTTCTGAATCGATGGCCAAGATCAAAGCGAATCCAACGGCTTGCAGGCGCATTGACCACATGCCTTCTGAAAACTGAAGATGATTGGCAGGCACGTCTTCCACGATTAAGGTAATGGCGGTTGCATGGCACTCGAAATTAGGAGTTACTTCAGCAAGTTTTGGGAATCCGAAAAGTCAGAAAAGTCAGGAAATCTCTTGATTCCCGCAGGTGCCTTTAATGTGAGTAGTCAATCAAGTTCGAATTTCGGTCAAACCAGTCCATCACGCTTCATGAACTCCTCGCGCTAGGGCAATGCTCTCAGCTCAAGGGGTGGGGGGCAATTGATGGAGGACGATTTGACCCGACTTATGGAACGGTGACATGCAGACACTGACTCAGCACGGACAACAGCTCAGCATTGTAGTCCAGTGCAACCGGATGACGGGCCCATAAAGCAGCTCGTTACATCATAGCCCACAAATGGAGAAGCTCGCCACAATGCGAGCTCTGGGTCCCTCGAGCTACCTTTGAAGGGATACTCCGAGGTAACTTTAGCTCGCGAACTAAGGGAACTAGCTCACCCAAGCTCCCAAGCAGACAGGTCACCCCAAGGACCAATTATGTTAAAGGTAATCCTGAGGTATTCCGGGCTCGCTACAAAGTAGCTCGGGAGTGGGCCGCATGGGCACTCCTCAGGAAGCTTCTCCCAGACAGGAACACACCGATCCGCCTATAGATACCCCGAGGTAAAGACACCTCGAGTCAGACAGCTCAGCTTAGCTTGCCACAGGCAGCTTGCCGCTTACGAGATAGCCCGGCACAGGGCAGCTCGCGGGAGGGTAGTCCGGCACATCGCAAGAAGACCTCCTGCCGACCACCGTACCCGACAAATATGGGAATAGCAGCCATATTCCTCATCAGACAGCGTCATGTCTGCCACCTTCAAAGGGCGCCTTACACCTAACAGGCACGTACACTACGGCGATGGCCCCACGCGTGCCACCTCAACCCTGCCAGTAACGGCTGCGGCTGGCTGACAGTGGCGGTTATACCCACCCTGTCAGAGGCCAGTGGGCCTGAGACAATGGATTTCTGTTATAAGGAGCTAGTATCAAGGAACGGAGGTATCATCTTCTACTCTCGCGTTATCTGCACTCTTAGCTCTCATCTTCTCCTTACTTCTCCTACAGAATACTAATTTAAGCATCGGAGTGTTCCCGTCGGGCAAGCCCCCGGGAATTCTTCTTCTTCTCCATCTCAGGTACCTTCCAGGAGCCATGTAAGTGCCAGCTAGGAGTGACCGGATCACGCACCATCAAGGTCCATTTTGGTTTGCCGCCGGAATTGAATGGTCTATTCCCATAGTCTATTTGGTTCAGACAGGAATGGGAATGAAAATTGGAATCAGCAGGAATGAGATGTAATTCCCAAGGGAGAGGAGTAGGGAATGCCAGTTCCCTCAAATGGAGGAATGCCATTCCAGTAAGAATGGGAATGGGATTCCTATTCCACCCAACCAAGCAGTTGGAATTGGAATAGTCTATTCCGATTCCGATTCCAATTTCTGGACCCCTATTCCTACAAACCAAACGAGCCTAAATTCTTCTAAATCAATGGGGTTACCCATCCACCAAGCCACCCCAAATCTCCGTCCGACCAGCCAGAGAACTTATCAACTGAGTCGGTTGGCGCCTTCATTGTGTTTATTATTCTAACATGAGTGATTGTTTCAAGGATCAATCTCAATTGTGACCTTTAACCAAGGTTCTAATTATCGATACGCTCGACACGCTGGTAGGGGTGCATTGGTACTTTTCTTTTATTTGTTTTTTCAAAACTGGTTCAGGGGGGGCGGTTTAAGGCTCCTGCACCCCCTGGACTGGTCAAAACCCCAATACACCCTCTGTAGGGGCATATCGGGGTGCTCCCAATACAATACATATCGACCTATACGTGTTGATACTTTGAAATGGGTGCCCGGTACCGTGATAAGATCGGTGGAGCCTGATTGGTGCCACATTTGCAACCTATAAATGCATGCACGTATTCAATCAAACCATGGAACCTTCCTATTGCCATGGATGAAATTAAATTGTACCTTAACATGCAAAACATTTGGTTGTTCGCGTTCCCTTTGATTTCCAATTCTTCTAGCTCATGTTTGTTTCATTGTTTCATCCATTTTGGGTGGACTTCTCTCTCTGTTATCTTTCTAGTTGCTTCCTTTGTTTGGTGGCGTATGTGGAATCGGGATTCACTCCTCATCGTTCCTTCGTGAATTGGGAATATTTTCCATTCCCATGACAAGTATAAAAGATATTCCCAATGTGTGACTAGAACGTGTTGTGAAGCTAATGTGAGGAGCAGATCCAAACTCATCAAGTCTTCGAGATAAGCGCGGAAAAACCTTGCCATCCGGCTTTTAGTCTTTTAGCCGTGTCCTTTCATGAACCCAATCAAAGGTGTTGTGCCTTTCAAGTTGGTTGCAGATGTTGGATCACTGGTTTTCAGTTTCTAAGTAGCAACATTAATTAATGAAGTCGACATATAGATGATACTTTCTACATCATCATAAATGGAACACATGAATGTGCTAGTCCCTTCAATTCATTTCATTAGACATTTTACTTGTGTATAATGCATTTAAGCAGTTCGGGGTCACTAATTTCCAACCTGCCCACCTCCAGTTTTGATCTTCTAGTCCTGGTCGGTGACCATACTTTGCTGGTTCATGCCTCATCCTGCTGATTATAGAGAGATCAGCATAAATGCAACCCCAAAACCTCCCCTCCTCCCTCTCACTCACTTCTCTCTGTAACTCTTCCTGTTTCTCTCTCTCTTTCTCTTCACTTGAAATTTATGACCACAGATGAATAAGTTGATAAAGTAATATAGAGGAGAGATCTTATTAATCCAATGTTTGGGTTGATAGTTTTCAGATTAGGCTAATTGCTCAAATGAAGCATGATGAGCAGGAAAAGATGTACGTCAAAACCACAAGCCATTTTGATGATGATAGATTCTATAAATTCCATCAGGGCCAAAATGAAAGTATGAAGCTCATATTTCGATCGGTAGATGTGGAAAATGTTCCTTGGGTTCTGTTAATTTCTTTTTTCATATTCTTCTTGTTAATTTTTTTTCCGTATTTGTTTTTAGTGTAAATTTTATCGATTTCATTGAGTTCAATGCCAATGGGTTTAAAATTTTAGCGAACGGTTGGAACTTTTTAAATGTGATAATCAATGTAAAAGTGCATTGATAAAATCGATGTATTATTTACATCATTTTTTTATATAAACCTTATACTGAAAACAAATATGTGAAAATACAGACCGGGAGTGAATAAACGCAGATAAATGCACAGGAGTGTAAACCTTACACTGGTCCATATTTACACTGAAAACAAATGCGAACCGGCGGTGAAATTTTACATCAATTCGCAATTACACCTAAAACAAACACGACCTTAGAAAAAAGCTTCTATTGCATGTGTTCATTGAGCAAAATATTTCTGTCAATTTTAGATTTATGTTCCATTTGGGGTCGATTAGATTTGGATCAATATTACTCTGATCTTTTTTGTAAAAAAAAAAGATTTATCAAAATAAATATGGATATCTTCATTAAAGTTTTGAATGAACTTCAAGAATTTAATTTTACATGTGTACAATAAACTCGGTATTATCCATGATCGGTAGTAAGGGTGTCAATGGACTGGTTTTGGATTGAATTCTGTCCATTCCAAAATTAATTTGGGCGGATTGGACGGATCAATAAGGCATATTAGATTGGACCAATCTGGTCCAAAATATTTATTAGATTGGATTGGACCTGATCCATCCGTAATAAATTTATATTTGATTGGGTTGAATTAAGCCAATATCTAGTCTATTGATATAAGATAAGAATATAGGTGTCAATAGACCAGGTTTGGGTTGAAACCAATCTAAATCAAAATAAATTTGAACAAATTAGATGATTCAGACATTAAATTGGACCGATCCAGAATGGTCCAAAATATTCATTGAACTGAATTGGACTTGATCCATTTATAATGGACTCGCATTGAACTGGATCGAATTGGACCAAATCCAGTCTAATTGACATCCCTAATTTGGAAACATTTGCTTTCCAACTTTTGGTGTGGGAAACAAAAAAGATGAACCAAAAAAGTTTTAAGTATCTAATAAGAGGGTTTTTTATACTATAATAACAGTTTACTTAAAAAATAAAAACATAAAAATAATATGAAGCCAAAGCGAGACCCGAAGACAAAGCCTGAAGTCCATGTCTTTACGTGCAACCTATTTGATGATGGGTCATCATCATCATCTCTTGACCCTTGATCATTTGATACACAAGAGAAAAAATTAGAGAATTTGACACGTGGCAAAGAAACAGAAAGAAAACATTGCATTTGACATATAAGCTAAAAATTAAAAAAAACAAAAAAAAAAAGCAAGAATGAAGCTTTTCTTCTTATCGTTTTGTTTTTAATTGATAAAAATGATCTTATCTAACGGAGCAGGTGTAATTATGTGTAATGTTGTCCCTCCTGAGTCCTGACCATCTTTACATCTGTTCCTAAAAATTACAACAAATGCCATTCTACGTATACTTTATACGTATACATACGGCAGCCCGTATAAATATACTGTATAAATACGAAGAAAAAAAGCGGGCTCAATAATTGCAGTTAACCTACTTCTGTCAAATAGGCCCAGCCCACCGTCAACTGTCATCCAACTCTCTAACCCTCCTTAAATGCCCCTCCTTCCTTTCCCAGTCTCTCACCTTTCTCATTAGTCATTTCTCACTCTCTGCTCAGTGCTCAGTGCTCAGTGCTCACCTTCACACGTAGTTCATTCTCTTGTATTCTCCCAACTTCACCACCAGACCAGACATGAAGATCATAACCACTTTTCTCCTGGCTTTTCTGCTTGCCGCAGCCACCCTCTCCGCCGCTGTCCGCCCTGAGTCCGGAGGGACACTCCACGCCGAGCTAAAGGGCACCAAAGGAAAGGGCAAAGGCAACAACAACAACAACAATGGTGACGTTGGCGGAAAGGCTAATGGGATGGGAGGTTTCTTCGGCCCTGGAGGCGGTTTCGGAATGCCTGGATTCGGGAACGGTAACGGATGGGGTAACGGCGGCAGCATCGGCGGAGGGTATGGTGGGGGTTACGGAGGTCCCAGCGGGGGATACTCCATGGGCGGGATCATAAGGCCGACTGTGGTGTGCAGTGATCCTGGTCCCTGTTACAAGAAAAAGGTGGCGTGCCCAACTAACTGCTTTACTTCGTACAGTCGTTCTGGGAAGAACTACGGTGCCGGTGGTGGTGGTGGCGGTTGCACCATCGACTGCAAGAAGAAATGCACTGCTTACTGTTAGATGTGAAGCAACGATCCATGGCGTTTTCCGGTTTGGAGTAAAACCGGCTCTACCTAGCTGTTGTTCTCTGGATAAATATATTATATTAATTACTAGAAGTCTAGAATGAAGAGTGCGCAGCGTACGTGTTGTTAATTGTTATTATCATCTTGTGAGCGTGTTTGTAAGTAGTAGAGATGTTGTTCTCTGATCTCTGTAGGGAGGGATGTAAGAGAGTTTGTATTGGGCTTGAGGTGAGTCTTTTTCTGTTGTATACAGTAAGTACGTAATGGAATTTGCCTTAATAAAAATAATTCATCATTCGATGCGTTATGCTTGCTGGAAAAAAAAGGGGTATTAGCAGATGCTCGTTGATGGAGCAATGATGAGCACTAACTTCACCTTTCGTCTGCACAAATTACATAAGTCATCAAACCTTTTTTTTCATGCAAGTTATCAAACTTTTTTGACAAGTACTAGACTACTTTGTTTTGATTAAATTTTGGAGCTAAAATTTACACATTCTTATTGCTTCTGAAAGTTGGGTCTCGTCTTTCTTGTTATCTTTTTTTTTTTTCAAGTTTAGGGATGAATAATGGTTGAAGACTTGAAGTCTACAGTACATATATATTTAGGAAGTTTGATTTCTGTTGGTTTAGATATGATCAGTTTTGTTCAAAGAACAAGTCAGAAGTAGGGAATTTGTTGATTTTCAGTTGCAAGTGCCCGAGCCTCAGGACTTATGTATATTTCACAGTTTTCCTTTTGGCTCAGCCTAAATTTTCAGTGGGCATCAGTAGTATTTATTGTCAGATAATAAAAACTTATTCACGTTGAACAGTTCCTTGAAGATATAGGGTGTCAATTAATTTGGACTGGATTTGATTCAATCTGATCGATCCAGTCCTACATAAATCTATTATAGATGGAGCAGACCCAACCCAATCCAATGTATATTTTAGATCATTTTGGATCAGTCCATTTCAATGTCTAGACTGTCCAATCTGTTCAAAATAGTTTTAATTTAGATTGATTCTAACCCAAGCTAGTCTGATCTATTGACATCTATATTCTCATCTTTTATCAATAAGTGGGATATTGGTTCAATCCGACATGTATTCATTATTTTAAGGTCCTATTCAATGCCGTTCAAATTGATTTTGATTTAAATGGGTCCAACCCAAAACTGGTCCATTCTACAAGTGAACATCTGTTTCAATCTTGACGGAGTTGGAAACGCAGGAAAATAGTAGAAAAAAGATGCAAAGCAAATGCCAAGGTCTGAGGAAATATTAATGGTATAACAGAAGTTTTCAATTGAAGCACGCTTTAGTTGTGGTACTTTCCACAAAAGTAAATATTCCAACCATGTGGCCAATCTCTGTGCTGTGGAATCGTCCGACCTCTATCGTGATGACACCTTATTGCTGCTTACAATTTTCCAATTAAGAATAATTTCTCACCACAAGTACACAAGAAGGTTCCTAGCTTGTGGACTGCTCGAGTTTTGTGATGAACAGAGATTAGAGAACCACAAAGCCACCAAAATCCTTTAATAGCTAGGGTCTTAATTTCTCAATCTAATAAAAGCTCTCGTTACAAGTCTCTTTTCTTTGTAAGATTCAGGTATGCGATTGCAATATCAGAAGGGGCCAAAAACAGAATTTGATCATCAAATCAAAGACTTTACAACTATTGTAGATATAAAGAAGGTTAGGTTGTCTTTTGCCTTTTGGTTTGGCCAGGCTAGAGAATATATAGACAACTCCATTAACACCCATAAGGCCATAATCTAGCCATAAGCGGTGGCCGGAGGACACTGATCACGTGGTGCGAAGCAGAGATGCTTTAAATTTTTCTAATCTTTCTTTACAATTTGTGTGGCTTTGTGTGTGAAGTCCTTGACTTGATCGAGCTCATCCTTTACAAGTAATTAATCTTGAAAAATCCAAGAAGAACCCTTTTTCCCTTTCCTTGTGGACTGATCATCCTGTGTAGTCATGCTTGTTCTAGAGCTAGAGTAGCAAATGGAGCAGTAGACCCAAGTGGTGCCCTACCAAAGCAAGAAAAAAAAAGAAGGAAACGTGTTAGCAACAAAACTCAAATTTGGAACTTGGTAAGCTACCAAACAGATGCCCAACTCGGAACAAAGAAAACGAGTAACTATTAGGACAAGTTGTAGCAAGAGGCTAGCAAACAAGTTGAGGGACAGAGTTATACAAGTGTTTAGTTGAAGCTGGATAGTGGATAATGCAATTGCTTATTCTCCAGTCTCCACTGCACTTACATTGCACATGTGCAACCCTAAAAAGAGCATCTCACTTGCATTCTGTACGTACCTTGACACAGATAGAGAGTGAGAGTGAGAGATGATGACGAGGACGACGACGAAGATTCCATTCAGAATGCTCAAGGTAAGTGGAGTCCCCACCGATTGTTTCTAGGCATTCCATGTTGACCCACCACAAACCCAACAATCAAATTGCTGTAACAATAAAGAAAGCTATATATTCACAAGGTATATTATGACCAAATATCAGTGTTTGTGGCAAAAAAAAAAACTACTGCCCACTACCTCAACAGTTGTATCTTGGTGTTTTATCAAAAATGGAGAATTAATGAAGATGAAATGGATAAATAAAAATGGGAATATAGTGTTGGTTGGGCATTTAATAATTGCTTTATAAATATAGAATTTATTCAATAATTAAAAGGGAATAATTAAGTAGGCATTTGGCACCGGAGCATTTTATAAGCCTTTTATTTTAAATGGAATCAGTAAGAAAATTTCATTTGACAATCTGTTTTTCAAAAAAAAAAAAAGGATTTGGGGTTTCTTGAATCGTTGAATTGATGATTTTTAATTGCTTTGCAGAATCAAGTTATTAATCTTGTATCACTAAGGTGATGCGATATATTGAAATTTGAAAAAGCTGACTTCTTCCTTGCATCTCTACCAAATACCATTTTTGTGTGTATGTATGTGTTTAAAAAAAAAAAAATGAAACTATATACCCACTTTCTCTCTTCTCTCCAACTTTAGTTTTCAAATTTTCCATGATGTTCAAGCTGTCTTCAGGCAAAAGTTTGTTCTTGTGCAGAGGATATAAGGTCAGTTTAAGGAAGGTTCCTTGCTTCTGCAGAGGATACAGGGCCAAACTGACAAAAGAAAGCTACATCAAAGGTAAGAAACTGTTCCCCTGCGCCGCATTGTTGCCTGATGAAATCAGATCAATTGATTCATAATTCCTGTCATCTTGTTTATTCTTCATTTGTTTTCTAATAGCTGGTTTTCCAATAAAGAGAGTTTTAGATTTTTTTATGGTAACTCTGGAGCATTGCCTTTCATTATTGGCAAAAACTTCTTCAGCAACTGGGAGGGAGGACCCCACAAAGGGTTCAGACATAATGGTAGATCATCTATCTATTACTTCATCATTTGGCTTTAAAAAAGTACCATTAATTTAGAATTTATTTTCCTCTTCGGCCATGTCCTCTTCAGTTTTTTTGCACATATCACTGAATTAGTTTTTAGGCTGCGGTTGGAAATGATGCAAATAAGTGTGAATGCAAATATGTAAAGTGTAAAACCGTTTATATAAATTGTAAAATTGAGTTAGTATTGCATTAACAAATTTATCTTCTTATCAAACAGATTTTTAGTTGTAATGGATACACATAGGAATTTCAATAAAGCATACTAGCAGAAAGGGCCTGTGCTGAGCACGGACAAATGAGAAAGCAAGGAAATTGAATAATTGAGAGATTAAAAATGAAAGAAAAAATTAATATAATTTTCAATTAAAAATCGAACTTCACCTATTTACATTAATTCTGTGCTACCTCATTCTTTGGAATAAATAACTCAATTTATTCGTACTTGTTAAAGAATGGATACAAGAAAGAGCCCTTAAAGTTTAAAATACCAATAAAGTTGGAGATGGCTCAATAATAAGACCATGCAGCATGTCAAATGTGTAAACATTTTTTTTACAATTAAAAAAAAAACAAAAAGCATAGACGGTTATTAATTAACGGGCAATTCAGGATGACAAACTTGTTTGTCTAATATGCTTTCAGAGTTCAACCCTATGATACTTTTGGCAACATCAATTTGATCAACATTTGCAAGACTGCAGCAAAAGGTTAATATAGGATTAGGCGGACGACAAAGTGGAAAGTGTTATTAAAAAACATAACGTTAGGCTACCAAATTAATAGCCACTATGTAGCATACAGCTAGGGGTGGATTCGAGCTGTCGAGCTCAGTTCGAGCCCGATTTTGAGAAAAAATATTTTATAAAAATAAAAAATATATATATAAAAATATTTTTTTATTTGATATTTAAAAAATTAAGAATTATAATAATTAATAATTATAATATTTATTCGAGCCGATTCGCGAGCCTCACGAGTCGCAGCTCTGCTCGTTTAATAATCGAGCCAATGAATTGGGCTTGAGCTTGGTTGAAACTGAATCGAGCTGAGCTTTTCACGAACCGAGCTCAAACAACTTGTGAAAATCTCGGCTCGTTGCCACCCCTATATACAACACCAAATATAGAAGTCTTTTAGACCAAATTACATAGAACTAGAACTACCTGAAGATGAACCGAATAAATAACCTAACAAATATGCAATATCCATTTTAATTAGAAATGTAAAACGGGTCATGTTGTGCCATCCTGCAGGTTGTGCCTCCTTTCCCTGGGATATTTTGGGGGGTCGGCCCGAGCTTGTGCGGGCCCATGACATGTCATGGGCTAGGCTGGTTCGTGGGTCGAGCCTTGGGCCAGGCCAGGCCGTGGCTTGGGCCAAAGCCATGAAAAGCTTATTTAAAAAAGTTGAAAAAAAACCTTAAAATTTTTATTTTATATGAACTTTGATGTATACAATTGTTTATATATACAATATCATATCTTATATATAGTATATATAATATATTAATAAAAATAAACAATTCTTTTAAATTTTATGATACTATTTTATTTAATTATACTGGAACCTAAGCATAGCCCGCTCGACCACGTTGAGTCTGTCATGGCCCGTGTGTCATCGTGCCAGACTGGTCCAAATTCGTACTGGACCATAAACAGTATGGCCCAATTTACACCTCTAATTTTAACTGATTAGTAAATGATCTAAATAGTAATACACAATCTCCAAGAAATCAATCATATGCCCTCAATCTTACATGTTTGGTCAACAAAAGGTGGGGTAGTATTTAATGGAAAAAAATAGTGCAAGAGTTCATATAAAAGATCACATAAAGCTATTAGATTTATTTGGAGTAAAAAATCAAAATCCAACTAAAATAGTAC